CAGGACTCCGTTCCACGCCGACGTTTTCCGCTCCTACAGCTGGTCTGCCAACGTGTGCGGCCGCAAGCGCTGGCTGCTGTATCCGCCGGGAGAGGAGCGATTCCTCACGGATACCCACGGGAATCTCCCCTTCGACCTGACGGCTCCGGAATTCCGGGATCCGCGGATTTATCCGCGCTCCGGCCTCGCCCGAGCCCCTCTGGAGATCATCCAAGAAGCCGGAGAGATCGTCTTCGTTCCCAGCGGGTGGCACCACCAGGTGCACAACCTGGTGAGGGAATTCCCGCCGGGAATCGCGAATTCGGGGATGGGAATTCCGGGTTTTTGGCGGATCCGCGGGGAAAAGGTGGAGCGTGAGATGGGATGGGTTTTTTTTCCCGGAGATTTTCCGTGTTTGGAAGTGGTTTGGGTGAGGATTGGAGCGCTCTGGGATGATCCTTAAGGTGCTTTCCCAACTAAATAATTCCAGGAATTCCGTGGTTTTCCAGGAATTCCATGGTATTCCAGGAATTGGGAGGAAAAAGAAGAGGAAAGGTCAGAAATCCTTCCCAGGAAGGAGGAATTCCAGCTTGGAGCACCCTGGAATATTGGGAATGGGATGATCCTTAAGGTGCTTTTCCAGCCAAATAATTCCGGGAATTCCGTGGTTTTCCAGGAATTGGGAGGAAAATTAAGAGGAAAAGTCTGAAATCCTTCCCAGGAAGGAGGAATTCCAGCTCGGAGAGCTCTGGAATATTGGGAATGGGATGATCCTTAAGGTGCTTTTCCAGCTAAATAATTCCAGGAATTCTGTGGTTTTCCAGGAATTCTGTGGTTTTCCAGGAATTCCATGGTATTCCAGGAATTGGGAGGAAAAAGAAGAGGAAATGTTGGAAATCCTTCCCAGGAAGGAGAAATTCCAGCTTGGAGCACTCTGGGATGATCCTTAGGGTGCTTTTCCCAACTAAATAATTCCGGAAATTCCATGGTTTTCCAGGAATTCCATGGTATTCCAGGAATTGGGAGGAAAATTAAGAGGAAAGGTCGGAAATCCTCCCCAGGAAGGAGAAATTCCAGCTCGGAGCAGCGGGAATTCTCCCTGCCCACGGATCCCTTCCATCCCAAATCTTTCTGGGATCATCCCATGGAATTCTGGGATGTTCAAAGCACCAAAATCTCCTCGGGCCCCGTTGGAATTCCGGAGCGAATTCCATGGAAAAATCCGCCCGCTTCCCGTATTCCCGCTTTTTTTGGCAGGGAATTCCTCGGGAATGGGATCCTGGATGAGCCAGAGCCGGGGGGGAGATGAGAATCCCGGGAATTGGGATGGGATTGGGGCCAATTAAGGAAAAGCACCTTAANCAGCCGGAATTCCGGGAGGAATTTTGGGATCGGGATGGATCCAATGGCTTTTTAAGGATTCGATAATCCAATCAAAATAATCCAAACTCCCTTATCCAACGGAAATTCCATGAGGAATTTTGGGATCAGAATCCATACAAGGGCTTTAACAGCCCAAACTCCATAATCCAATGGAAATTCCATGAGGAGTTTTGGGATCAGTATCCTTACAGGGACCTTTTAACAGCCCAAACTCCATAATCCAATGGATTTTCCATGAGGAATTTCGGGATTGGGATGGTTCCAGGGGTTTTAACAGTCCAAACTCCACGATCCAATGGAAATTCCATGAGGAATTTTGGGATCAGGGTCCCTATAGGGACCTTTTAAACTCCGTAATCCAACAGAAATTCCTCATGGAATTTCGGGATCAGCCCCTCGGTTTCTCAACCGCTCAAATCCCCGGTGGAATTTTTCGGGATCCCTTCCCGCCCATCCCTGATTTTTCCAGGAAAAGCGGCTTTTGAATGACTCAAACTCCATAATCCAATGGAAATTCCATGAGGAATTTTGGGATTGGGATGGATCCAGTGGCTTTAACAGTCCCAAACTCCACAATCCAATGGAAATTCCATCAGGAATTTTGGGATTGGGATCCAGTGGCTTTTTAATTGACAAAACGCCATAATCCACCCAAAATTCCTCGTGGAATTTTGGGGTCACTGTCCCTATAAAGGCTTTAACATCCTAAACTCCATAATCCAATGGATTTTCCATGAGGAATTTTGGGATTGGTTTGGATCCAGTGGCTTTTTAATAGCCCCAACTCCATAATCCAACCGAAATTCCATGAGGAATTTTGGGATTGGGATGGATCCAGGGGCTTTAACAGCCCAAACTCCGTAATCCAATGGATTTTCCATGAGGAATTTTGGGATCAGTATCCTTACAGGGACCTTTTAACAGCCCAAACTCCATAATCCAATGGATTTTCCATGAGGAATTTCGGGATTGCGATGGATCCAGGCGTTTTAACAGCCCAAACTCCACAATCCAACGGAAATTCCATGAGGAATTTCGGGATCAGGATGGATCCAGTGGCTTTAACAGCCCAAACTCCGTGATCCAATGGAATTTCCATGAGGAATTTTGGGATTGGGATCCAGTGGCTTTTTAATTGGCAAAACACCATGATCCACCTAAAATTCCTCGTGGAATTTTGGGATCAGAATCCCTATAAGGGCTTTAACAGATTCCATAATCCAATGGATTTTCCATGAGGAATTTTGGGATTGGGATGGATCCAGTGGCTTTAACAGTCCAGACTCCATAATCCAATGGAATTTCCATGAGGAATTTCAGGATTGGAATGGATCCAGTGGCTTTAACAGCCCAAACTCCGTGATCCAATGGAATTTCCATGAGGAATTTTGGGATTGGGATCCCAAACTCCGTGATCCAATGGAATTTCCATGAGGAATTTTGGGATTGGGATCCAGTGGCTTTTTAATTGGCAAAATGCCATAATCCACCCAAAATTCCTCGTGGAATTTTGGGATCAGTGTCCCTATAAAGGTTTTAACAGCCCAAAATCCACAATCCAACGGATTTTCCATGAGGAATTTCGGGATTGGGATGGATGCAGTGGCTTTAAGAGCCCAAACTCCACATTCCAACAAAAATTCCGTGAGGAATTTTGGGATCAGGATGGATCCAGTGGCTTTAATAACCCAAACTCCATAATCCAATGGAAATTCCTTGTGGAATTTTGGGATGAGTATCCCTATAGCGACCTTTTAACAGCCCCAAACTCCGTAATCCAACGGAAATTCCATGAGGAATTTTGGGATCAGTATCTTTAAAGGGACCTTTTAACAGCCCAAACTCCATAATCCAAAGGATTTTCCATGAGGAATTTCGGGATTGGGATGGTTCCAGGGGTTTTAACAGTCCAAACTCCACGATCCAATGGAAATTCCATGAGGAATTTTGGGATCAGGGTCCCTATAGGGACCTTTTAAACTCCGCAATCCAACGGAAATTCCTCGCGGAATTTCGGGATCACCCCCCTCGGTTTCTCAACCGCTCAGATCGGAATTCTTCGGGATCGCTCTCCCTCTCCGTCCCATTCCCGATTTTTCCCAGGACTCCGTTCCACGCCGACGTTTTCCGCTCCTACAGCTGGTCTGCCAACGTGTGCGGCCGCAAGCGCTGGCTGCTGTATCCGCCGGGAGAGGAGCGATTCCTCACGGATACCCACGGGAATCTCCCCTTCGACCTGACGGCTCCGGAATTCCGGGATCCGCGGATTTATCCGCGCTCCGGCCTCGCCCGAGCCCCTCTGGAGATCATCCAGGAAGCCGGAGAGATCGTCTTCGTTCCCAGCGGGTGGCACCACCAGGTGCACAACCTGGTGAGGGAATTCCCGCCGGGAATCGCGAATTCGGGGATGGGAATTCCGGGTTTTTGGCGGATCCGCGGGGAAAAGGTGGAGCGTGAGATGGGATGGGTTTTTTTTCCCGGAGATTTTCCGTGTTTGGAAGTGGTTTGGGTGAGGATTGGAGAGCTCTGGGATGATCCTTAAGGTGCTTTTCCAGCCAAATAATTCCAGGAATTCCGTGGTATTCCAGGAATTCCGTGGTTTTCCAGGAATTCCATGGTATTCCAGGAATTGGGAGGAAAAAGAAGAGGAAAGGTCGGAAATCCTTCCCAGGAAGGAGAAATTCCAGCTTGGAGAGCCCTGGAATATTGGGAATGGGATGATCCTTAAGGTGTTTTCCCAACTAAATAATTCCAGGAATTCCGTGGTTTTCCAGGAATTGTGAGGAAAAAGAAGAGGAAAGGTCGGAAATCCTTCCCAGGAAGGAGGAATTCCAGCTTGGAGCGCTCTGGGATGATCCTTAGGGTGCTTTTCCCAACTAAATAATTCCGGAAATTCCATGGTTTTCCAGGAATTCCGTGGTTTTCCAGGAACTGGGAGGAAAAAGAAGAGGAAAGGTCAGAAATCCTCCCCAGGAAGGAGGAATTCCAGCTCAGAGCAGCGGGAATTCTCCCTGCCCACGGATCCCTTCCATCCCAAATCTTTCTGGGATCATCCCATGGAATTCTGGGATGTTCAAAGCACCAAAATCTCCTCGGGCCCCGCTGGAATTCCGGAGCGAATTCCATGGAAAAATCCGCCCGCTTCCCGTATTCCCGCTTTTTTTGGCAGGGAATTCCTCGGGAATGGGATCCTGGATGAGCCAGAGCCGGCGGGGAGCTGAGAATCCCGGGAATTGGGATGGGATTGGGGCCAATTAAGGAAAAATTCCATGGAATTCCATGGAAAGGAGCGGCGCTGCCCCTCCCCCCCTTCTCCCACCCCTCGGATTTTTGGGAATTTGGGATCGTTTGGGTCCTTCAAAGACTCGGGAAAAAGGAATTTCCCAGGATTTCAGCACCAGGGAATCCTTTCCCTTCTCAAGAATTGGAATTTCGGAGGAGAAAATTCCTTTTTATTATCCCTAATAAATTAATTAGTGATTAATCATTAATTATCCACGGGTTTTCCCTAATTTTTTTGGGAATCAGAGAATCAGTGTCAGAGAATTTGGGAATGAGGGGTTCCTAAAGAAGGAATTTCCCAGGATTTCGATTCTTTTCCCTTCTCAAGAACAGAAATTTTGGATCAACAATTCTGTACTATAATTCCTTATAAATTAATTACTGATTAATCATTAATTATCTGTGGGTTATCCCAAATTTTTGGGGTGATTTAGGGACATTTTGGGGTTCCTAAAGAAGGAATTTCCCAGGATTTCGATTCCTTTCCCTTCTCAACAAGGGAAATTTTGGATTGACAATTCCATGTCATCACCCCTAATTATTTAATTAGCGACTAACCATTAATTATCCATGGGTTTTTCCAAATTTTTTTGGGAATTAGAGGCATTTTGAGGTTTCTAAAGAAGGAATTTCCCAGGATTTCGATTCCTTTCCCTTCTCAACAACAGAAATTTCAGATCGACAATTCCATATTATCACCCCTAATTAATTAATTAGCGACTTATCTCTAATTACCCCACCTTTCCCGGCCAGGATGACACCATCTCCATCAACCACAACTGGCTGAACATTTGGCAGCATTTTGGGAATCGGGGACGTTTTGGGTTGCTCAGGAACAGAAATTTTGGAGCGACAATTCCATCTTATCACCCCTAATAAATAAATTAGTGATTAATCATTAATTATCTATGTGTATTTCCCTAATTTTTTTGGGAATCAGAGAATCAGGGAGTCAAGGAATTTGGGAATCAGGGTGCCTAAAGGAGGAATTTCCCAGGATTTTGATTCCTTTCCCTTCTCAAGGACAGAGATTTCGGAGCGACAATTCCATCTTATCACCCCTAATAAATTAATTAGTAATTAATCATTAATTATCTGTGGGGTTTTCCAAATATTTGGGGAATTTGGGACATTTTGGGGGTCCTAAAGAAGGAATTTCCCAGGATTTTGATTCCTTTCTCTTCTCAGGAACAGAAATTTCGGATCGACAATTCCATCTCATCACCCCTAGAAAATTAATTACTGATTAATCATTAATTATCTGTGGGTTATCCCAAATTTTTGGGGTGATTTAGGGACATTTTGGGGTTCCTAAAGAAGGAATTTCCCAGGATTTCGATTCCTTTCCCTTCTCAACAACAGAAATTTTGTAGCAACAATTCCATCTCATCACCCCTAATAAACCAATTAGTGATTAATTATTAATTATCCACGGGTTTTCCCTAATATTTTTGGGAATCAGAGAATCAGGAAGTCAAGGAATTTGGGAATCAGGGCGCCTAAAGAAGGAATTTCCCAGGATTTTGATTCCTTTCCCTTCTCAAGGACAGAAATTTTGGAGCAATAATTCCATCACCCCTAATAAATTAATTAGTAATTAATCATTAATTATCTGTGGGTTTTTCCAAATATTTGGGGAATTGGGGACATTTTGGGGGTCCTAAAGAAGGAATTTCCCAGGATTTTGATTCCTTTCCCTTCTCAAGGACAGAAATTTCGGATCAACAATTCCATCTCATAACCCCTAGAAAATTAATTACTGATTAATCATTAATTATCTGTGGGTTATCCCAAATTTTTGGGGTGATTTAGGGACATTTTGGGGTTCCTAAAGAAGGAATTTCCCAGGATTTCGATTCCTTTCCTTTCTCAAGAGCAGAAATTTCGGATCGACAATTCCATCTTATCACCCCTAATTAATTAATTAGCGATGAATGATTAATTATCCACGGGTTTTCCCAAATATTTGGGGAATCGGGGACATTTGGGGGGCCCTAAAGAAGGAATTTCCCAGGATTTTGATTCCTTTCCCTTCTCAAGGACAGAAATTTCGGATCAACAATTCCATCTCATAACCCCTAGAAAATTAATTACTGATTAATCATTAATTATCTGTGGGTTATCCCAAATTTTTGGGGTGATTTAGGGACATTTTGGGGTTCCTGAAGAAGGAATTTCCCAGGATTTCGATTCCTTTCCTTTCTCAAGAGCAGAAATTTCGGATCGACAATTCCATCTTATCACCCCTAATTAATTAATTAGTGATGAATGATTAATTACCCCACCTTTCCCGGCCAGGAGGACACCATCTCCATCAACCACAACTGGCTGAACGGCTGCAGCGTGGGGCGGATGTGGCGCTTCCTGCGGGAGGAGCTGGGGGCCGTGAGCCGGGAGCTGAGCCGCTGGCACGGCCCCGACGGCCACGACCCCCTCCAGTGCCAGGTACGGAATTATCCCGGAATTCCGGGAATTCTGGGAATTCTCCCGGCCGGAATTTTCCCTCTTTCGAATGAAGGAGTGGAGTTTTGTGTTTTCGTTTTATTTTGGTTTTTATTTTGGTTTTTATTATTGTTTTTCTTTTGTTTTGGCGGGAGACGTTCCCGATGAAAATTTTGGGAGTTGGTTGGAAAAGTGGGAAATTTTGGGATGGGGAAAAGTGGGAATGTTCAGCTGGAGAAGGGAAAATTCCAGGGGAAACTACAGAGATCCTTCTGGAGATTAAAAAAGCTTTTTCACACAAAATCCCAGAATTCTGACCCAAAATCCCGGAATTCCCACCCAAAATCCCAGAATTCCAACCCAAAATCCTGGAATTCCCACCCAAAATCCAGGAATTCCCACCCAAAATCCCAGAATTCCCACCCAAAATCCCAGAATTCCCACCCAAAATTCGGGAATTCCCACCCAAAATCCAGGAATTCCCACCCAAAATCCCAGAATTCCAACCGAAAATCCCAGAATTCCCACGCAAAATCCCAGAATTCCCAACCAAAATCTGGGAATTCCCTCCCAGAATCCCAGAATTCCAACCCAAAATCCCCCAGAATCCCGGAATTCCCACCAAATTCCGGAAAAGCTGGAGAGGGATTTGGGATAAAGCCTGGAATGACCGGGAATGGCTTCCCATGGAATTCCCGTGGGATCTTGGGAAGGAATTCCTGACTGGGATGGAATTCCCATTTATATTATTAATTATTTCTATATCTATTTCTATTATTTTGTAATATATTAATTATATATAATTACTATATTATTAATGTAGCATTAATATGCTAATAATATTATTACTAATAATTATTGACAATTAAGAAGAAATATCAATTGATAATTCTTATTATTAATTGTTGATGATAATTATTGACATGTGATTATATACATTTATTTCTATTAATTTACAGAAATTATAAACATTATTAATAATAATAATAATATCAAATAATTATATTAATAATAAATAGTAATAATAATTATTAGTAATAATGGCTAATAAATATTAATTGATGTGTGATTTATATAATTTATTTCTATTAATTTGCAGAAATTATAAACATCATTATTAATACTATTAGTAATATTTGATAACTGATACTACTAATAAAAAATTGTTAATTATTAATTATCATAAATAACAAATATTAATTAATATGTTATTTATATCTATTTGTTTATATTAATTCACGGAAATTGTGATGATTATTATATAATTATTGTCATTATCAGTAACATCATTATCATTATTATTGTCACTATTATTACTAATAAATTGATATTAGTAGTAGTAACATAACATAACATAACATAATATAGTATAACATAATATAGTATAGTATAGTATAATATAATATCATATCATATCATATCATATCATATCGAGATAGTAATAATGATATAGTAATAATAATATTAGTGTAATAATATCAATATAATAATGTTAACACATTAATAATAATTATTAATTATAGTATGATACTATCTTATTTAATAATAATAGTAATAATAAGAGTAATATAATAATAGTAGTAATAGTAATAAGTGTAAAAGTGTAGTAAGTAATAGTAATAATTCTATTAATGCTATTAATGCTCTTAATAATATTGATATTGATGTTGATATTAATAATAATATAAAATATAAAGTATAAAATATAAAATATAAAACATAAAATATAATAATAATGATGATAATAATGATAATGATGATGATGATGATGATGATAATAATAATAATGATGATGATGATGATGATAATAATAATAATAATAATAATAATAATAATAATAATAATAATTTTATTTAAACCCAATCCTCCCCCATCCCAGCTGGGATTTTTCCCCTCTCTCATTCCCAATCCCTTTTCCCTTTTTTCCAGCTCCTGCTGAAATCCTGCGCCGGCATCGACTTCCCGGAGTTCTACAACTTCCTGCGGCTGCTGGCCGAGAGCCGCCTGGCGCTGCTGGAAAACCGGGAATTCTCATCCCGGGAAAACTCCCCCGGATCCGTAACCGGCCTGGGAACGCCGCAGAATTCCCAAAGATCTGTTCCCACGCTGGGAATGCCGCAGAATTCCCAAAGTTCTGTTCCCACGCTGGGAACTCCACAGAATTCCCAAAGTCCCCAAGGATCCATTCCCACTTTGGAAACTCCACAGAATTCCCAAGGTTCCCTTCCCACCTTGGAAACTCCCCAGAATTCCCAAAGTTCCGTTCCCAACCTGAATTCCCAAAATTGTGTTCCCAGCCTGAATTCCCAAAATTCTGTTCCCAGCCTGAATTCCCAAAGTTCTGTTCCCAGCCTGGAAACTCCACAGAATTCCCAAAGTTCTGTTTCCACTTTGGGAATTACCCAGAATTCCCATGGATCTGTCCCCAGCTTGGAAACTCCACAGAATTCCCAAAATTCTGTTCCCAGCCTTAATTCCCAAAGTTCTGTTCCCACTTTGGGAATTACCCAGAATTCCCGAGAATCTGTTCCCAGCTTGGAAACTCCCCAGAATTC